CACGTTTGAGCTTCAGCAAGAGCCAATGAGTTTCATTCTCGTGTTACGCAGCACGTTTGAGCTTCAGCAAGAACCAATGAGGTTCATTCTTGTGTTACGCAGCACGTTTGAGCTTCAGCAAGAACCAATGAGTTTCATTCTAGTGTTACCCAGCACGTTTGAGCTTCAGCAAGAACCAATGAGGTTCATTCTTGTGTTACCCAGCACGTTTGAGCTTCAGCAAGAACCAATGAGGTTCATTCTTGTGTTACGCAGCACGTTTGAGCTTCAGCAAGAACCAATGAGGTTCATTCTAGTGTTACCCAGCACGTTTGAGCTTCAGCAAGAACCAATGAGGTTCATTCTTGTGTTACGCAGCACGTTTGAGCTTCAGCAAGAGCCAATGAGGTTCATTCTAGTGTTACCCAGCACGTTTGAGCTTCAGCAAGAGCCAATGAGGTTCATTCTTGTGTTACGCAGCACGTTTGAGCTTCAGCAAGAGCCAATGAGATTCATTCTCGTGTTACGCAGCACGTTTGAGCTTCAGCAAGAGCCAATGAGGTTCATTCTAGTGTTACCCAGCACGTTTGAGCTTCAGCAAGAGCCAATGAGGTTCATTCTAGTGTTACGCAGCACGTTTGAGCTTCAGCAAGAACCAATGAGTTTCATTCTAGTGTTACGCAGCACGTTTGAGCTTCAGCAAGAGCCAATGAGGTTCATTCTAGTGTTACGCAGCACGTTTAAGCTTCAACAAGAGCCAATGAGGTTCATTCTCATGTTACGCAGCACGTTTGCGCTTCAACAAGAACCAATGAGGTTCATTCTCGTGTTACGCAGCACGTTTGAGCTTCAGCAAGAGCCAATGAGGTTCATTCTAGTGTTACCCAGCACGTTTGAGCTTCAACAAGAGCCAATGAGGTTCATTCTTGTGTTACGCAGCACGTTTGAGCTTCAGCAAGAGCCAATGAGTTTCATTCTCGTGTTACGCAGCACGTTTGAGCTTCAGCAAGAGCCAATGAGGTTCATTCTAGTGTTACGCAGCACGTTTGAGCTTCAGCAAGAGCCAATGAGTTTCATTCTCGTGTTACGCAGCACGTTTGAGCTTCAGCAAGAGCCAATGAGATTCATTCTCGTGTTACGCAGCACGTTTGAGCTTCAGCAAGAGCCAATGAGGTTCATTCTAGTGTTACCCAGCACGTTTGAGCTTCAGCAAGAACCAATGAGGTTCATTCTTGTGTTACGCAGCACGTTTGAGCTTCAGCAAGAACCAATGAGGTTCATTCTCGTGTTACGCAGGTCGTTTGAGCTTCTGGAAGAACCAATGAGGTTCATTCTTGTGTTACGCAGCACGTTTGAGCTTCAGCAAGAGCCAATGAGGTTCATTCTCGTGTTACGCATAAATTAAAATCATCATAAATAAATGTGTTAATCATATAAAGTGATGGAGTCTCTTCAGATAATTTGGACTAAACCGCTGGATTCATATTGATTATTTTAATATCTCTTTATGAACTTTTTGAAGCGACAAAGTGGTAGTTGCGTGAACTGTCAATGGAGGGATAGAAATCACTCAGATTTTATCTAAACTATTTTCATTTCTGTTTCGAAGATCCACGAAAGTCTTACAGGTTTGGAACGGCATGAGGGCTTGTAAATGATTTTTTTTTTTTTCATTTTTGGGTAAACAAATTTTTTGGGTGACTCATTTACACTGAAGGGTGATTAGAAACGCTTACTAAACTTGTCTATTAATATATATTTAATTCTTCAATTTCTGTCATGAGCATTTAAAGCCGATAAACAGGGTAACTTTCACATCATACATACAATAAGGGGCTGTTTCAAAAGAACATAATACAGCTCACATTTTCATACAGAAGAATTAATATATATGTGTTTTAACAAAACACAAGCTGCACATTTCTGCTTTTAAACTAAAAGAAATGAAAGTCATTGTCTGTGTCAATCAGCAACACATCACAGATCCTGTCAATTGAGATGTTATGCAACTGTGTAAATACATTTTGTCAGTGCGAATACAATTGTAATTCATTATATTTACAAATAAA